TTTTTTTTGTATGTAATATATCTTCATTACAGATCTTTTTATTTAAATTATAATACTAATATGTACATATCAGTATTAGAGTTGTTTTAAAATATATGTATGTATAATGTATAACAAAATGTATGTATGTACATATATATAATGTTATACATTATACATGTATATATATATATATATATACTATTATATGTAATACTATAGAATAGTACTACTACTATATTAGAATACTAGTTACTACAGAAATAAAAGTACTAATACTATAAAATAAAAGTACTAGTACTATAAAAATAACTATAGAAATAAAAGTACTAGTACTATAAAATAAAAAGTACTAGTTACTATAGAATAGTGTGTGTGTATACTATTAACATATCATTTTAGTTCTTATTATCACATTCAGTTAAGAAATCAAAATTATTATTTGCGTATTAAAAATGAAGAAATTAAATGTTCTATTTAGCTTTTCCGATTATATCCTATCACTATATTCTATCATATATACTATAATTTCTAATTAGTTTTAATATACTTATAGTACAAAATTGATAATATATTTTTAATCGTAGTTTATTTATGCAAAATATTAAATAATTTAAAAATTAATAAAGGCAGAAGGATTTATTTCATATTTATGTAAATATTTAAAATATGTGTAAAATATTTAATATATAACAGAGCAGTTCTATGAAAATAAATTAATTTTATATAACAACAACAATAATAATATACTACTAATAATAAATTATACGATTTTACAATTATAGTATTACAGTAATAAATATTAATAATAAACGACTTGTAACTATAATAAAATTAAAATATATCCCTACATTATTTGAAATGAAATGAAATAATTATATTTATTATAATGAAACATTGCAATATATATTGAAATGAAATGAAATAATTATATTTATTATAATGAAACATTATATATATAAATATTTGAATATGAATATAATAAATATATATTTTGTAGGAGTTAATAGTTTATACGAAATTTGATTCTGATTTTAGAAACATACGATATTTAATTAATTTCAGTTAGCATAAGTTTTTTATGTATTGTAATGTAATCTAATTTCTTAACTTTTTATAAATTAATGCGTAAAATAAATCTCGTCATTAGACTGCAGATTTTTATACAATTTTAAGTATTTGTGAACACAATTGAATAAACATTATCGAAGCAAAAATTTATTTCTATTATTAAATATTGTAATAAATATATTACTTTTAACATTTCGTATATTTTTGCATCTTCAAATTTCTCGTAAATGTATAAAAATCCACAGTCTACTTATCATGTATGTATAATATAATGACGTGTTGGACAATCATTTTTTGTTTGGTTTACAAACAATTTCTTAATGCATTAATCTAAAATATTTTAGAGAAAAGAAATATTTAAACGCGAGAAATATCTTTATGTTATATCTATACACAAAATATTCGTATACTCGGTATATAATTTTTATCTGCGTGTAAAGTAATGATGCATTATAAAGTGTATGTTTTAAAACATATGTTACAGATTGTCTCTCAATAGTTAACAAAACGACAAAATTGGCAATAAAAATTGTCATTTTATTCCCTTATGTGTAAAGAAATATAAATATATATATTTAGTCTATGTAAAAAAACAGAATGTTAAAAAATGAATTTTATGAAACATTTTTCGAATTTTCAAGAAACGATATTACGTACTTTTTTTCTATTTTTGACTTTTCTTGAGTTGTATATATATTTTTTACTCTAAAAGAAAAAGATATACAACTTCAGCTTTCTCTATTATATGCATATTATGCAGATATAAATGTTGTATAACATAATTCTCAAAAATAATTCTCTGTAACAATTTAATTTGTATGCACATAAAAAAATATTATATACATCGCGAAATTATGATAAGAACAGAATATATACATGTTATTGATATTTTCGAAGTTTTCTGTGATCTTGTGTTTTTTAAAAATATTCAAAAAATAAACACTTTACAATAATTAAACTTTAATCTATGAAGTATATATTCTTACTTCAATTTGTAGATATATGTGTACCTTAATAATTTGTAAACACATATTATTTATGAACGAACAGTAACTATAGTATATAATATTTGGGACCTAATTAAATTTTCATCGCTATTATAAAACAGTGTTTATAAACAGTGTTTATGATATAATATATCAACATCTATCTCTTTTTGATTTAATAGACAGTATAAAATATTACTAATTTTTGTTAAAAACTATTGAAACAAATATTTTTATCATCTATTTGTATTGAAGTCTGCAAATTTGTAAATAATTTTATTATAAACCAATAATAAAATATTGTTAAGACTGTAATATATATTTACTATTAAAAATAACTTCAGTAAATATAAAATTCATAACTAATTCAGACAATTTTATATCGTATCTTTCAAGAAATTACTTATCTAAACGAAAGAAATTATTTAATTCAATCAATCATTTGGTTTAAATTACAAAAGAAATTTATTTTCTGACCGTAATATTTCTTATTATAAAGTAAAAGCACTTTTTTAAATAAATGACTTTATTGATTAATTGTAGGATCTTGCTCATCTGTTGTAATTGGACTGCTGTCCCATAGCAATTTGGAATTTCATTTGTCACGAATTATTGAACCTTATTGATTAATCAATAATTTAATATAAATAAAATTTTGAATTAATTTAATTCTTTTATGTAATTACTATATTAAGATATAACATAGATTTTCACAATTGAGTAATTACACATTAATTAATTAAATAGATAATCAAATAATGGAATTATATATTTAAAAAATAATCTTGTTCCAAACATTTTTATCTATATGTATCTTGATAAGATGGCAAAGTTACAATGTATATTATTAAAGAAAGTACATTATTTGTTTAAGTTTCTTGTCTAACATCAAAATAGAATGTTGAAAGATAATAAGAATGTATTTATATATGTATTTATTTGAAAAGAGATACCACATGAAATAGATTGTAATTTATGGAATTACTATCAAGTTATAGCCACATAATATAACAATATTATGAGGTAAACAATATAGT